ATATATATATATATATATATATATATATATTCAGTTGTGTATTCCGTTGAACACAAACTGGTGTTCGAATGAGTTCATTTCGCGAATTATGTCCAGTTTGGGCTCAAGTAGAATATCAGTTTGATGGGCCCTCGGGAATTGTGCCTACCTGCTGAAATGTCTTCAGGTTTTCGACAGTGGTTGTCTCAGAACCGTAGCTCGTGTAGAGGCGTCGAGGAATATGTCCAGCACCAGAAGATGCTTTGATTAGGCCACATATCACGCATGCCGAACGATTGTTTGCCGAAGAGAGTGCTTTTTCTCGTGTCCAATTCGGAATGGCTGAGGCAGAAAGGTGGCCAACTTTCACCTGGTAGAGGCGTATGAAAGAGATCACGAAACACTTGAGTTCTGTCAGTGTGACTCACCTTCCCGGCTGGGTAGCACGTGATCTTCACTGTGTCTGGTTGGAGACGCTATGTCTGCTAATCGATCGCCTGAATGGGCGGCACTTTGGAATGATTGTAATAAGCTAGCATTAAATCAGTTCCACAATTCCCGTCATAAACTTCACCTTCGATGAGATGCGTGGGCGGAGCTTGGGCACCAACCAAAGACTACTCGCAGGCTACATCAGTAGTACCCACCGTTCCACTATTACTGTTTCATCACAACAGTGTTTTCAAATTAATCATGGTTATACGGTAGCGAAGCATCAGTTTTGAACATCGATGTCATGCTCTCGATGATGATGATACATCCGGAGGGGAAGGATGAAACGGGTGTTAAGCCGTTGAGTGTTTGTCAGCAGCCTTATTCCATCAAGGAAACATGAAAAGAACTTCGTTGTCAACATGACGCTGCCCGAATCTTCAAAAGTGTTAGAAAGAACAAACGTATTGTGGCGCTTTAGTTAATCCCGTCCTTCAGATTAATACGGAACGACTGGTTATCCTCAAAGAGTGGAGCGTTTCCACTTTTTTCCTCAACTCCAACGACGTTCTGCTTGTGTATTACCTTTCCACTTTTTTGTTCTTTCTTCAAACTGCTTCCTGTTTCGCTCTTTTTTCACTTCGGTATTCCGTAGTCGAAATATTTGGGCTCACAAAGGTCTTTTTTTCCTTCCGGTTGTACTTCACACGGGAAGGTAGCCTATTGATGGAAATTATCTGCTAGATTACCACAGTTTCAGTCGCTTTGAGCTAAATGCATATTAGGCAATGCATTTGATATTTACGACTGACTGAGAGAATAGACCAATGCTCAGTTGCCCAGGTTTTGATTAGACTTATCTAAACGTAGTCTTAACCGGGAACCGCTCATCAACAACCCTGTTTTCACTCCTGACGGGAGTGGCAGTACCGAAACTGCGCACTTCCAGGGCATACTGTCCACTATAACTAGAAAAAACTCGGCATTTTATCACAAAACGGAACACAAAAACTAATGCTACGTATGTGAGTGATCTTCATTTGGTAAAAAGGCAACTGATAAGTTTAGGAGAGACTGAATAGCGCTCTTCCTGAAATCACTTCGATCCGATTGGACACAGCGAAAGCAGTGTTGTATCGATCATAATCCACACTTGTGAGCATTACTCCAACCACAATTACACCAACCGCATCAACAATCGTGTTTGCCCGACAAACCAAGCAATCACACCGTTTTCCCCAGTTGATGTCAACACAGAGGCGGATGATGTTGATGATGATGATGATGATTGATGTTTCGTGTCACAGTTAACCAACAGCATTGGAACAACTGAGGAGAAGATCCGAAAACTCCCTTCCTTCCGTTGATTGATCTGAATGGAATTGTCGACCTAATTGTGTGACAACGCGTTATTAGAATTTTAAAATGGATGTTCTTTTGATGTGCCTATTTATCAACAAATTAAGCGGGAATTCACCGTAGTGGTTGCCATGTAACCCTACAGGATAATTCAAGTTTCCAAAGTGATGATACATGAAAAACATGAGCAGACCAATTTTAGGAACGTCGCATTGAGAAACCGCTTGCTTTTCTCACGAAAATGAGAAGCGAAAGTGTTGAATCGAGAGTCCAAACAAATTCAAACGAATTCACCACATTCACCTTAGAAATACCTTCAAATTCTTTGTAACGTACTACTCATAAGGTTGCTGAAAATCCGTCGACAGCCCACGACCGGTTTCGCCCTTCCAATTGGGGCTCATCAGGTTGGCGCAGTCCCCGGGTTTCCGTCAACCTTATGTTCTAACTGAAGCCAAATCGCACGAAATTAGCGACTATACACTCATTTGCAAAGTAATTTGGTTCTTTCGAGAAACTCACCTGGAACCCAGCTGAATCTCTCGTTTATGATGTTCTCAGGCAACTGAATGTGCTGCACCAGGCCGCTTCATGTTTCAGTCGCTACGATATTCGAGATATCGCGATACATGTATATCTCTGTAATTCTGATTGAAGCACACGGGCGATAGATTTTTTTACCGTAAACCTGGATTCTCCGTACGGTTTGACAAACAGCGCTTGGTTGAGTCACTCAGGACCATGATTGACACAATGGACAGATTTACAAAAGAATCATTGAACCGCACAAGTTTTGGAGGATTTATCGATTTAAATTAGGAATACTGAACAACTTATTTGAAAAAATCATTCAGCTGTAGCATCCTTTCGGTGTTTGAGCGCCATGCCACACGAAAAAAGCACGAGGGATGGGATACTGCCAGGTCGCCCAGGCCTGGACAGGGGAAACCGAGAGTCAGAGGTTGGGTTCTCGAACCAC